CACTTTTATTTGTTTTAACAACTTAAATATTCATACACAGGTGGAATACATGTTCAGTTTCTTTGACTCTCTGTAACAATACACTTTAGTCTTTGCAAAAAACCATTAAAAACAATTCACATTTTCAGCAGGTTGTGGCCCACTTTCAAAAGCATGTAAGCACTAAGGTCACCTGTGTGTCTTTACTGGCAGCTGGTGTAGTTTGTTGAAACAAGAAAGGGTTTTACTTTCTATTTTTTGTTTATTTTTATTTATATGCTGATGTATGGTACTGTCCGTACATAGTGCAGACGTGCTTTTGGGATGCCAGGCTTTGTTACAGAAGAGATCTTTTCACTCAGTTAACAGAAATACTATCTGCAATCCTGACAAGCATAAATGTCATTTGAACACACATCCGTTCATTTCCAGTGCAAATGGTTAAAATGGAAAACAGAATAAATTGAGAACACAACAGCAACTGAATGTATTCATCACTCCTTGAAAAAACCCATTAACACTCATATTATCATGAGGAACAAGAATAAATGCTATGTCTAAAATGTACTGTATACTCTCAAATATCATACAACTGTATTTAGTGCAATTTCACTTGTTTTACACCACGGCTTGCTTTTTCCCCTTCTCCCGAAGCATGCACTTAGAAAGGAAGGTCTGTCACAAAACCTTAACCAGCAGGGGGCAGTTTGCATTAGCTTTTTAATTTAGCAATTTTAATATAATGTTTAGGTATATCTACACAATATGAATGCATCCTTTCAGTGCTTTCACTTTTTTCCTCTCTTAATGCAAAAATCTCAATTGTAATCATGTCTATGTCAGAGGAATTTCTTTTCCAACTTTTGCAGAATCACACTGTACCAAATGTAGATGCAAAGTTAAAGCATTATGAATTCAGTAGTTATAATCGATAATGAACACATAGTAGTTGGAGTCATAATAAGTAGTAGTGCACACAGAAGATTCAAAAGCATCATCATCGAGAAAAGCCCTTTACAAAAAGCTAATGAAAACCGCCGCCCTGAGTTTTAGCCTTGCTAGCGGCAGCGTGCCGCTCTGACAGTGGTCAGCTTGTCGTTCAGTTGCTTCAAATCCTTTTGGTCTGACCAGGATTTAATTTGTAGCTGATGCGTGCCTCTCTAAACCTGTAGCTACAAGTTGAGGCTGTTGTCCGACTCAGTGTCAAAAGCTAGCTTAGCTTTTGCACTCACAGGCTAACACTGTCCTTCTGTAGTGCCTCTTACTATGGTGTCTTCCAGTCCACCACTCACAGTTGCTGTTTCCTACATTCCCATGGTCATCCATGTATTGCAATTTTGTGAGTTCTCACAGTTCTGTACAGTATTGCACGATTCAACTCATCTCCAGGAAGTTTCCCAGAAAAATATTTAGCGCTAAGTTAACCTTTAAACTGTTGCCTGCAACCAGTGTGGAGGACTAATATTTTACATCTAATGCCATAATCAGCGTTATTAATGTTTTTTTTAGTAATCCAGAGAATTAATATGCATGTTTTCATGCAGGTATTCATAGTTCTATAACAGATTAAGTTCTCAAGTAACCACCCCCACCATACATTTAATGAAACAGTCATCATCATAATGAAATCCTTTTAAAGACCGGCTCCTGGACAGTTGAGTATCTTTTTTAACAAAGTATTAAAAGCAGCATCCCACTGTCTTGACTGTTTATATAACTATATATAACTAGTGATACAGATTGTGCAAAAATGCAGTGGTGTTAATGGTTTTGTCAAATGAGAAGTCTATGTTTGAATATTTCCTTTAAACTTCACATTTAAATGGACAGAAGAGAAGTAACTCTAAGTCTCTGGCTACATGTCAGGCCTGTGCAAAGATACATTAGATGGGTGCTTAAATGTGTAAAACCTTCTATCATGATATGCTTGAAAAAACCAAAGGTTTCTTAAGGGATTTTAAGAGTGGCTTGAATCCATATGCATTTTGCTAGAAGAACCTTTCATATCATGGAAGGATAACTCACCTCTGATCTATCTCAACACATTTATCATGGTTTGAAATGCAAGTATATGAGGAGCCCTCAAATTTTCTACACCCTTTCACAGACTGAAAAAATCACATAATTTGTATTATACAGTATGCTACATAGCCCCCCAAGAAGGTTTTTCACGATTTTTTTTTTTTTTGCCAAAGTTTTCTCTTGGATACAAATACAGTATTTTTGTAATAAGGATAAAATAATAAAAATATTCATTTGTACATCCGTAATAGATTCTTTATACAGTAGGAAGAAAAAGTCACTTCCACAAGCAGGAACTCCCTCTCACACAAAGACTAAAGTGCTGGAGCCAAGAATGCACTGTCTGCATCCAGCTGGCTTAATATTGGAGTCTAGATATAACTATGTCATAACACACTTGTTTGTTTTGGGTAACTATGAAAAACTTAGACCGGCATCTTTCCTCATGCAGGCAGCGGTCATGCCCACAGAGCTGGTAGCTCATAGGTCCACTTGCAGTCAGCTGACCAGGAAATATAAGGATACAGGCTTTTTCATTGCTGCTATTTGTGGGTACATGAATGTAAAGAAAGAAAATAGAATAAAGCCATGTGTAAGAAACAGCCTGGCAGGGCCGTGGCATCAAACTCATGCAGAGTGGAATAATGAGGGGAAGAGCAGCTTGTGTGGCCTGAGGAGAGAAACAAGAGAAGATGAGAGAGTCAGTCAGTGGGCACATGCAGCACCGCCAAATTTACACATGGATGAATGGAGCTGAGGAAAACAACGGTAAACTGAGTAACTCTTGGATAAACATCTGTAAA